TGCGGAGGGCAAACCCTAAATAGAAACAATTCTAAATTTCCAATCCTAAAGTCTACTACACGGGAAATAGAAATAGTAACTCTCGTGTAAGCGGATCAACTCATCAAATGGACCCACACAAGGAAAATAATTTTCCATTTGTTGGTTATAATTTATAAGGGGCATCCGAAATTTCATTCTCTTATGAGAAATTGAAAAATAATGTTTTCATCCAATATTTTAATTGAATCTTCGTAGGACTGAATTCTAATGTTTTGGCTACGTATTAATGTATTTACAACTTAGTTATAATGTAGACGTTTTACTTAATTCAGCAACATTTCTACTACTAAATTTCCAATCAAATTGAACAATCCTAAAATCTACCATACGGGCCAAGTTATTCCAAATATCTCGCTGGATCACAGATCAAGGAACCAAATAGCTTAGATATTTTTAGATCAAATGACTGAACAGAAAGAGCTGGAGCAGTTCACGATCAATGCATACATCGTACTAATTAGATTTAAAAATCATTGTTTATATGCTTAAGTAATATATATTTGTGTTGTTGTTAATATTTGTGGTGTTGTTTATCCAGGAATTTGTTGGATATACATGTCAACTGATCTTCTAAGCTGCTGGGCACAAACCGAAAATTCAAAACGAGGTTTCGTGACACTAAGTGCAAGGTACATGGCCATCAAATCCGATGCTCAGAGGCGAGAAGAAATTCGAGAGGAAAAGGAGGAGGCTGGTGAAATACTAGATCACTTGTGCTTCGAATCTAATCTAACAAAGGGTTTCGAATTCATAAAGGAATCTGGCGTTCTACGAGAAGATGAAAAAGATGCAATTGGCTTTACCCCCTGGTATGGAAGACATGCAGTGGTAACAATATACCTGAATTGATTGAAATGCTTCAGCATCAACCGGTTGGTGCAGCCTTGCGAATTTTTGAACCAGACTACGATAACCTCGGACCAGTAAGTTCCACATATTTTTTTGGTTTATTCTTTTGTTTTCTTAAGAACGGAAGTTAGTTGATACAAATGTATATTTAACATTCAGGACGATATCTATGATGGTCCCCAAACTCCCCAATCAGTCTTGGCTGCTGCAAACCATGTTGTCATCATTGTCGCAGTCTTGAGACTTCACGGACAGTTGGTTGCTAAGTGTAAATCGAGCCATGGAACGCGAAGACAAAGGGACGGATACCTATATGTGAGCTTGACAACCATGGTTACTAGCACATGTGGCACTAAACCACACCCGAGCTCTCTCTTTGTGAGGTTCGTAGCTCTACAGTGATCAAGCTAGTGCACAAGGATCAAACAAATCTTCATCTATTCGAAAAATACTTGTAATTCATTCTAGAAATTTCCGAAAAGTAAAGCAAGTCTTTTCACTTTAAATTTTCAGCAAATGGTGAAGAAGGTGGTTGTGAGTTTATCCAAGATCTACGAAGAGCGGAAGAGTAGAATTTAGGATTCTTAATTATGATTGGAAATTTAGATTGAAGATTTTCTCATAAGTTTCATAGTTTTTGTTCCCGTTTCGATTTGGGTTAGTTTTTTTTCTGAGAAATTTGTTAATCATTGAAGAGGATAACAATCTTCTCATGATAAAAATTGTATTTGTGTATACGATAACTAAATGACCAAATATACAGTTTTGACAAATATATTTTCCAAAAGTTTCAAATAAAACTATATTTTTGATATTTTCTCAAATATATAATTGATATAATTATATTTTTTTTGTTATTTGAAATAATTTTTCAACTATGTCATTTTACTATTTGAATTAAAATTACTATATTAATGTTAAATTATTGGGTCTATTATGTTTTTTTATAAAATTCATGATAATATTTTTTCTAGGGTCAATTACTTGTTTGACAAAGAAATGGAAGATAATTAGGCCAATGACAAAACCCAACATTATACGTGTTTTTACTGTGTGTCAGTGGGTAATATTACCTTTCAACC